TAGTTATCCTTAGTGAATTATGACTGGAGTAAATCATGCAGACACTGTTAGTTATACTTAGTGAATTATGACAGGAGTAAATCATGCAGACACTGTTAGTTATACTTAGTGAATTATGACTGGAGTAAATCATGGAGACACTGTTAGTTATACTTAGTGAATTATGACTGAATTAAAACACATATATGCTGTTGTTTTTAGTGAAACAATTGCTATAATTGAAATAAGCTATGAAGATGGTGTTATTCCTAGTCAAGCAGCTATTAAGAATGATATAAATTATGTGGATATGCTCTACAAAGCCAAACTCCACAAGTAAATGAAAGTTTCCTTCTGGCTATTGAGAAAAGACAGTCTGTTCGCACTCCATGTCTGTACATGTTGATTCAGAGTAGTAAATATATCTTTTTTAATAGTGTCATACTCAAGCATTTAAATATGACATGCTAATGAGCTAGTTATCTATGAGTTATTCAGACTTTTGGGGAAAGGGTTACATTTTCAACTCTTATCGCCCACAAACAAAAGTATTTTAAAAAACTTTTGATATATTATACTATCCCAGTGTGTATAGTCTCAGTATCCACTTACCTCATCAATTTCTATTTCTTGGGTTTCAGTTTCAACAGTCTTAACTTTTACTTCTTCACTAAACTGTACAGACTTCTTTTCTGGAATCTTATCTGCAAGGAAAAATATAAATTTGTTGGAAACACTGTTGTCCATAGGTATGGAATATAACGGATTCAAGAGGAGACAGAGTTTGTTTATGACAACAGACATATAAATATTTCTACCAAGTGATTTAAACAATATTTCTCCAAAGACACTAGAATAAAAAAAAAATGTTTTCATTACTGAGATAAGATAAGAATTCAAACTCCCATGTAAAAAATGCCATCAGCCTCCTTTTTATAACTCTCTACATTCCTAGCAGTGTTTCACCATTAGGGATTAGATTACACATTCATTAACAATGAGACTAATGATTCTTTACTTTTATGCTTTCACATACTTAGTTAGGATTCAATAAATGCTTCCTTAATCATTGGTTACTTTTATATAGGATTAGCTCAATTCTTGTTTAACTTTACATTTTTAAATATCCATTTAGACAAAACATATTTCTTCCTTAAAGCAATTTCAACAATCATCTTATCATATTTTACCAAGGACTAGATGCATGTTTGTATTTCAAGACAATATTTTATTTTTTAGTTTGTCAGTATAAAATTCAAACTTACAAAGAGGCTCTGGCTCTGCCGTTAAATCTGCTGTGACAAAATTAGCTGGAAAAAGACCTTCTCCCATGTGGGTTGAACCTTTCCACCAGTTAACATCACTTTAACAAATGAATAGCATATTTTGAGGCTTAAAAAGTAAACACTTCCAAAGCATGATAAATATGAAACTAAACCAATGAAATAAACATTTTTGTTATTCTAATGAATAATGGTGTTTTATCAGGCATTGCAACATTATAGAAATATAGACTTAAAATAATCTTATTTGTAATAATGGAAGTTTGTCAATCAAAAATCATTATAAAATTTGATGTTCTATAAAATCATTCATAATAAAGAAATGAAAATGTTGTTACAGACAATCATATGAAATATAATAAGACTAGTAATAACTTCAATCATTCCATTTTATCATTCATGTTAACTCTGAGTACATAATATTCACATGGTAAGCTCCAGCTGACAGGTTTAGGTTTTTCATGTTAACTGAATATATAATATCCACACGGTAAGCTCTAGCTGACAGGTTTAGGTTTTTCATGTTAATTGAATATATAATATCCACACGGTAAGCTGCAGCTGACAGGTTTAGGTTTTTCATGTTAATTGAATATATAATATCCACACGGTAAGCTGCAGCTGACAGGTTTAGGTTTTTCATGTTAACTAAATATATAATATCCACACAGTAAGCTGCAGCTGACAGGTTTAGGTTTTTCATGTTAACTAAATATATAATATCCACACGGTAAGCTGCAGCTGACAGGTTTAGGTTTTTCATGTTAACTGAATACATAATATCCACACAGTAAGCTGCTTCTGACAGGTTTAGGTTTTTCATGTTAACTGAATACACAATATCCACACAATAAGCTGCTTCTGACAAGCTGCAACACCCAACAGCTTACAGTCAAGTTGCTTTACAAACATATATAGATCTTCAATTAAATATGATGAATGTTAACATAGTGTACGTAGAAGTTTAGTTCTTCTCACTGGAAACCTCTACTAGATGAAACAAAGTGAAGTCTTTACAGTTACCTCACTTTTCAAACACAGAAAATATTTTACAAGCTATGTCGCTATACAACTTGTCTTTCATTCTTCAAACATTCAGACACTAGCATTACATCTTACTATCTCAGTAAGTTATTTTGCTCTAAAGAGATTTCAAAATTTCTAAATTAACAAAATGTCAATTTCTAAGAAACTCAAGTATTAAAGCTGTTAACATATAGCCAATCTTAAGGCCCAGTAGAAAAGAAAAATTAAATCAGATTTTTTTTTGTATCTCTAAAAAAAAGAATTTGGTTAAAAAGTTTGAAGCTAAGAAACACACTCCTAACAGTTAAAACAAACAAGGACAAATTTAAATCCAAATTCATGTGAAAATAGCAGATGCAGAACAACTTCTAAGAAAAAAAAAGCATTTTTATTGGAGTCTTGCTTGAAAAATTCTTACCATATTTGATAAAGGACTATCTTCGTTTCAGACACTTCATAACAATTTCTGTTTGCTATTCATTTTTATATTATAAACAAGATGATGTGTCTTCACATCAAAGTAGCTGATATCTTACTTACCTATCATCCAAAACTAATATAATTTCTCCTGCCTTGAAGGTCAGCTCATTATCCTCAGCTGCTTCGAAATCATACAATGCACGAACCTTTCGAGGCTCCTTCAGAGGAGAGGGCCAAGAATCTGGAGTAGGAGATGGAGCAACAGCAGTAGGATACAAACTTGAAGTCTTAGGAGAAGACTCTTTTAAAGATAACTCAATGGCTGAAACAGAGAAGAAATGTAAATACATAAAAACTACTGCAGACTGAATGAATACAAGAAAACAAACATAATGGTGCTTAACTTACAGCTGTAAAACCACTATGGACCAAGCCAATACAAGAAAATAAAGATACTATTAAATATGAGGTTGTAAAACTACTGCAGACTGAATGAATACAAGAAAACAAACATAATAGTGCTTAACTTACAGCTGTAAAACCACTATGGACCAAGCCAATACAAGAAAATAAAGATACTATTAAATATGAGGTTGTAAAACTACTGCAGACTGAATCAATACAAGAAAACAAACATAATAGTGCTTAACTTACAGCTGTAAAACCACTATGGACTAAGCCAATACAAGAAATAAGATACCGTTAAATACGAGGTTGTAAACTAGTGCATAGTGAATCAATACAAGAAAATAAAGATACCGTTAAATACGAGGTTGTAAAACTAGTGCATAGTGAATCAATACAAGAAAACAAACATAATAGTGCTTAACTTACAGCTGTAAAACCACTATGGACTAAGCCAATACAAGAAAATAAAGATACTATTAAATATGAGGTTGTAAAACTACTGCAGACTGAATCAATACAAGAAAACATACATAATAGTGCTTAACTTACAGCTGTAAAACCACTATGGACTAAGCCAATACAAGAAAATAAAGATACCGTTAAATACGAAGTTGTAAAACTAGTGCATAGTGAATCAATACAAGAGTAAAATAAACACACAACTTAACTTTAAGTTTTAACTTTGTAAATGCTTTATCCTCAAGGTTTAAAGTCAAAATTATCTTAATGTTTCTTGAAATTTGAAAAGATTTTATTAGGTTTTATATGTGGTACAATGTAAAATTACAAGAAATAAATTGAAATATAAATATCTGCCTTATTGTAAAAAAAAAGTTTATCATGTAACAAAGTCAAAAGTTGAAACGTTTCTCCAAAATATTGCTTTTATTTTGGTCAACTCTGGATGAACCTCTAATAATGTTTCAAAAAATGTATATAAACAATATGACTTAATTTTATCTAGCTACTTTTTTACAAACATGACACATTTTCATATGTTTAAACCACGTTCTTAGTACTCATGAAGTATGTACTGACAATATGACAAAAGTAAAATATACACAGAAATGCTAATTGTTACTAAAATATTTGTTAAGATAAAAAAAAAGGAAAATGTAACTACACCTTTGGCAATATCATCCTCTTCTTGCTGACTGCTCACCACATTCGGATCTTTGGAGTATGATGGAGTAGTCTTCTTAGGCTTAAAGATATTTCAGATTAAATTTTTTTTTACAAAACTATTATACTAAGTGGTACATAACCACATTGCTTCCTCCTGAAAACTGTACATGAGAGAGCTCTGTTAAATACTCAACTTTATCAATGACTTCTGAACAAAACAAGCTATGGTAAACGCTCATTAGTCCGGACCTCCACAATTCAGATTATTCTAAATCCATATAATTTTTCATAAAGACAAATGTTCACGATGGGAAAATTAATCAATAATTTGTATATTTATGTTTTGCATACAAACAGCTATTTCTTGTAAATAACATACATTTCCTATGGATACACGATTTAGTAATCCATATGACTCCACAAAAGTCAAGTAGGGGTCAATAAGATCAGGAAACAAGGTGATAATTACTGACCAAAATACAACTGCACTAACTAGTGGATACCAGTTTACAAGAGTTTTTCTAAGAATGACCTTCTCGTACTGAGTATCTGTTTAGAAAATTTTTTCTGAGGGTGACCTTCAGATATCCAGAGGTTATAAGGGTGGTTTATACTACAGGCATTTCAAATCACAATGCTCCAAAATGAAGACAGAAATATAAGCATTATTAAAACGTTAATGCAAGAAAGCAAATCCAAGTACAAGCTTTGATACCATCAGTAGACATTTCAGTGTAGAAAGAAACGTTTTCATGGACAAGTCAACCATATCTAACATTTTCTGCTGCAAAGAAAAATGGGTAAATATTCCAGAAGATTCAGGTCAAGAAACAAGAGCAAGACATTAAAAACATGGAGCAAGCTCTGTGTCTTTAAATATGTAATGTTACATCAAGAAATACTGATTGAGAAAGCTAAACAACTTTAACAACATCGTGGTGTAGCAAAGTTCAGATTCTCCAGAGAATGGCTGCAACATTTCAGAGAAAATTGTCGCATACAGAAGATAAAGTTGGAAAGTGAAGCAGCAAGTGCTATATGTAGTAATGATACAATGTCACCTGACCAGTGGCTCATCATAGACTTAACAGAACCAACTGTTCGAGACATGTCAGATGAAGACATCATAGACTTAACAGAACCAACTGTTCGAGACATGTCGGATGAAGACATCATAGACTTAACAGAACCAACTGTTCGAGACATGTCGGATGAAGACATCATAGACTTAACAGAACCAACTGTTCAAGAGTTGTTGAATGAAGACATCATAGACTTAACAGAACCCACTGTTCAAGAGTTGTTCAATGAAGACATCATAGACTTAACAGAACCAACTGTTCGAGAGTTGTTGAATGAAGACATCATAGACTTAACAGAACCAACTGTTCGAGACATGTCGGATGAAGACATCATAGACTTAACAGAACCAACTGTTCGAGACATGTTGGATGAAGACATCATAGACTTAACAGAACCAACTGTTCAAGACACGTTGGACAAAAACATCATAGACTTAACAGAACCAAGTGCTCAAGAGTTGTTGAATGAAGGCATCATAGACTTAACAGAACCAACTGCTCAAGAGTTGTTGGATGAAGACATCATAGACTTAACAGAACCCACTGCTCAAGAGTTGTTGGAAACTTTTGTTTGGAAACTTTTATACTAAGACTAGATTTTTGAAAAGTCATTATTTGTAAAATATTTAGGAGAACATGCCTCCTGAACCCCCTCGTATCAATGCATTATGGTCATACCAATCTAACAGAGATTCCACTAGTTCCAAGAAATCAATATCAAAATTAACCTGATGTTTAAAATTATGGGTTCACCGTTTTTCTTGAATATGACAATCTGATTGGTAGAATACAGCCACATCCCATAACCACCAGGCTTTGGATGGGATTAATCAGGTAAAAAGAAAAAACACATCAAACAAAACATGCTTGTGATGAAAATATGAAATGGGTGAAAACTCAAAGGAAATAAATAACTCTTGGAGCATTTATGGTTGCACCGAAATGTTCAAAAGATGTTAGTTGATAAAAGTTAGCACTCCTTGAAGGAGTTGATATTCATTTATAGTTGCACTGAAATGTTCAAAAGATGTTAGTTGATAAAAGTTAGCACTCCTTGAAGGAGTTGATATTAATATCATCTATAAAATGGTAAAAAAATAAATCAATGTTTACATACAACACTGTCAGTTACTGTATGAATTACGCAGAAAAATATATTCATGACAAGGAAATAAAAATATTTACCAAACAATTTATAACATAGCTATTGTACACTCTGGATATTTGTTTTAATGCTGTTATTTTAGAAATAGTTTCTACTTGTGCTTTTTCCTGATGTTTAAAGACATTTATACCTTAGTAATTAGTACCAGAAAACACCCAGTACTAAACATGACACAGATGTGACTAACACCTGATCAAAAAACAAAATTAATCAATATCTAGCGAATAACAGAAGCCTTTCCAGGAATTGTTCAGGAGGGATCAATTCTATAATCATTAATACATGTAGGCTTAAATATACCATGTGTCAGTAGCAGTTCAGTACATGGTCCATAGCATGGTTTATGTTAAATTGAAGAAACAAAAAATGTTAAGAACATCATAATATAATGCTACATTTGGTTTCATTTTCTATGACCATCAAAACTCAGCTAAGGTTCAAAAGGTCACACCCATAAAAAATTATTTTTACATTAATACCTAAATCAAGTTACTGAAAGTACTTTGTTATCACACTAAAATAAATTAAGATTCTGTTGTTAACATATTAATAAGTAGATTTATCATATTAGTAAATAAATCAAGGTACTTTTGTTATCACACTAATAAATAAATCAAGATACTTGTTATCGCACAAATAAATCAAGATACTGTTGATATCACACAAATAAATCAAGATACTTGTTATCACACTAATAAGTACATCAAGATATTTGTTATCACACTAATAAATACATCAAGATATTTGTTATCACACTAATAAATCAAGGTACTTTTGTTATCACACAAATAAATAAATCAAGATACTTGTTATCACACTAATAAATACATCAAGATACTTGTTATCACACTAATAAATCAAGGTACTGTTGTTATCACAGTAATAAACACATCAAGATACTTGTTATCATGCTAATAAATCAAGGTACTGTTGTTATCACACTAATAAATAAATCAAGATACCTGTTATCACACTAATAAATACATCAAGATATTTGTTATCACACTAATAAATCAAGGTACTGTTGTTATCACACTAATAAATAAATCAAGGTACTGTCATGACACTTTCTCATGTTACATATTTGAGAAAATTGGGCAAATTTTTCACATATCAATAATCCCCATTTTACACACAGATTTAAAAACTATACATACTCATATATAAACAAGAACACTTACTGTGTCTGTTGAAGCCGTAAATTCCATTCCTTCACTTTGTAGTTTGCTGTACAGAGAAGGAATCAAGCTGAAAAGAAACAAATATAATTTTAAATCTTTTGTATCAAAAAAAACCTGGAAAAGTACTTGTACTTTTAAATAAAACTGTTTGAGTACTAAATATAAATACCTTATTTCTCCATTCATCTCTTAAGTTTGATACAAAAAGTGGCATTATAAAAAGTCAATAAAACTACTAAGCTCTAATACACTTCAAACTTCAGGTTCAGTTCTTATCCTCTTTAATAAGTAAATTTCTATCCATTGGAGAACTACTGAAAAACTCCAACAAAACTGTTAACTTCTCCATAAAAACCTGGTGAACTGCCAACAGCTGCAACAAAAACTCTAATAAACTATTAACAAATGACATAAAAAAACATGGTGAACAGCTGACAAATTCCACAAAACACCTGATAAGGTGCTGACAACTGCCACAAAAAAAAACCTGGCAAGTTACTGACAACTGCCACAAAACCACTTTGAGGTGAATTTATAATTACTGCTATAACCTTAATGTGTAAATAATCATTTACTCTTACCCAATTAAAATTACAAAACATTAGTTATCTAGGTATTTCTGAAAAGTGGACAGCTATATTTTTCTTTCATTTATACTTTAATGAAAAATTTTATTATTGATATATAATAAATAAACATGAGTATTAAAAAAACAATAATTACAAGTTCCAAATACATAGTTTTAAATAATTTTTCATGTATAAATAATCCTTGGTTAGATACAATACTAGGATTTATTGTTACTTAAAGTAATGTTGTAGTTCTAGACCAAAACTTTTAAACAGTAATCTTTGGTTATGAATATAATACTAGTGCTCATAATTACTTAACTCACTATAGTTTTAAAGCATCCTTGAATAAAAAAAAAAAAAAATTAATTAGTCTTATACGTGTTAGTAGTACCTCAACTGGGGATCACTTTTGAAGTCTTCTTCTGCCCATTTCTTGATCAACTGCTTCAGTTTTTCTACAACTTTAGGGTGAGCCTGAAGTAACCCAAAGTTATTGAATTAAACTTCATCCACCCATTTCTCTAGGTTAAACTGGACATTTAAAAAATGTTTTAATACATGCAACTACTTTTTCACAAAACAAAAAATGATTACAAAAGCATATGTCATGAAAAATATTAGAAAGCATTACATCATATAAAGTTAGAAACCATAACACAATGCAAGGGTAGACAGCATAACATAAAAAGATACAAAACATTATATAAGGTACAAAGCTTTATATAATACAAATTTATAAAGGATAGAATAACAAAAAGTTAAAAAGTATTAAATAATAAATATTTATAAAACATTACGCAATGAAAATTTAAGCATTACATAGTGAAAAGTTAGGAAGCATTACATAAAAGCTATCAAGTATAGAATAGTGAAAAGCTTATACAGCTGTGAGAAAATTTAACAAAATAACAAATAATGTGCAAAAAAGTAAACAACAGTCAACATTTGATAAAATGGATAAAAAAAAGAAATGTTTCACCAAATGTCCCAGGTTTTTCATGTCAAATTTTTCATAAATTCAAAAAAAAAAAAGAATGTCATTACCATTTATAGACCACTGGAAAAAATTACTCAAATATCAAATAAAACTAAAGATGAAATAAATATAATGGAGAAAACAGGTATTTATAAAATTGATCGTGAATGTGTGGGTGTATACATTGGTCAAATGAAAAGAAGTTTAAAATTTAGAGTAAATTAACATAACAGAAATTTGAAAAATCAAAAAGTAAGTAGATGGCGTGACCTTTTTTTTTTTACATATGTAAACTAGTAGTCACATGACCATGACTTTTTGTATTTATATGTTGCAAAGCATTTGTTTTTCACACTCTTGAGGATGACATGAACAATGTCGAAACATGTACTCTCTTACAACTATTGATCAGTTTTTATAATAAAAAATTTTAATTGTGTATTATACAGCATTGATTGTTTGAGTATTTTAATATTTTAAGCATAATGAAAAGTTAGAAAGCATTACATAAAAGCTAGCACATATAAAATGAAAAGTTAGGCATTAAAAACTCTGTAAATCATGCCTTTCTTTTTTATATATATATATATGACAAATCTTCAGTTTAAAATAATACTGAGAAAATAGCTCAAGATTTTGAAATCAAAGTCAGGAGATTATAAAAAGACAAGAAAGAAGTAAGATATCCTTGAATTCTCTTCTGAAGACATCCTGTCTCTGGTGTTAGAAGTCTAAGCTCTATATATATTTGAACAAGTAGGGTAAGCTCTCCCAACTGTCTAATGACAGAAAGTAAGGACTTAGCCTCTAGACATTTACAAATTCTCACACAGTGATGTTTTTGAGAACCTAAATACAAAACCCTCCAACATCATCCCAAAGTGGAACACATCACTTAGTAGAATAAATACTATGAAAATGTCAACACACACACACATACAAGTGAAATATTTTAGAAACCAACTGTTTGTCTTTCTAAGTTACTAGCGAAAAAATATATGGTACTTTCTCAAAGGCCACCATATATTATGATTTATGACTGTCAGTCAGCTTCAATGCAGCCTTTAACACGTGTTTATTCAGCTTCAATGCTGCCTTTAACACATTACTCATATTTAATTAGAAGATTTAATAAGATAGGTCGGGGAAACCTAAAAAATGACTACTAATCTTTTTTGAAAACAACAAAATTCAGATGATGAAAGAATATAAGTTACTGGTTGATGACTTATACTTCTCTATGGTACATGTTTCACAATTAAAAAAACAGACTGAATATACATATATTAGCTATATTTTTTACACTTTTACAACTTATCAACAACTGAAAAAAGATCCACTTTAACAATCTAAAAACATGGTTCTCATCCTCACTAGCACAATACCATCACACTATCACGTGATAGATTAAACAGTTACATTTTCAACATGTACACCACAAATTTTAAAAAAAATTACATTTTTAAGGTTGTAATTTAATCATTACAACATTTAACAATAGTTTAGCTTTATACTTTCAAGTGTTTCAATTACATATGATTTATTTCAAACATTTTAATAACAAGACGTATTCATAAAAACCAAATTTCTTAAAAGTGGAATACTGTAAAAAAAATAATAAAGATGTTTCTATTTACAGTCAAAATACTGCTGAAAAAATTATCTTAGAAATGCTCTTATTTATAGGCAAAAAAGGAACACTGTAAAATAATTGTGTATCAACAAAAGGATTTTGATTTAAACAATATTTCCATAAAACAAGTAGTTTAATCTCTATTATAATGGTTTATAAGGATCAATTACAGCTTTATAAAACACTCTTGATGTTTGCATTTTACCTTTCAAACTTACAAATTTCTTCATATACTTTGTTACACTTACTTTTCCAAGTAACTTCCTGATTTCTGCCTCAAAATCTCTGGAGCACACTTCAAGATGGAACTTTTTCCCACAGTTGCTCACACAGGCATCAAGAAGCTACACAAAAAAAAACAATCCACTATACATTTCATCAAGAAGCTACACAAAAAAAACAATCCACTATGTGGATGAATCTTTACCAAAATTGGTATGGAGTTTCATTAGGTCCATCAGGGGGTACATAAAATTTCCAGTTTTGCATTTTGTGGTTTTCTAGCCATTTTTCACCACTACTTGCCCCTGAAGATGAATCTTCACCAAATTTAGTATGGAGATTCACTGGATCCATGGGGAGATACGGGGCAAGCTTGCAGTTTTTATGGACATTTTTTGCAATTATGTATAAGGGAAGCAGCTTTTCATGTCCTAAGATAACATTTCATTAATCATGAATTTACATAACTTCTGTCCAGGGAACGGGTACTCTTGCTAATTGTCAGTATCCCATTACATTTCTGAGGTTTAATATTGCTATATTACCCCATTGTTTTGAAGGTGTAAGGGTAAAGTTATTTTATAGTAGATAATACAATTTGAAAAATTAAAATGAGTAAAGTAAGTACAACAGCTTCATCACTGAATGACATCCTCTTTGTTGGTACTTTTACTCTTCTTCACCAGAGACTATATTAAATACAACTTAGACAGCTCCAGTATCTATACTAGAATGGTAAACCAAAGATATCAATTAAAAGTAATTATATCATTAATACATGTGCCAGTAGAACCTATTACACACAATTCTAAGTATTAAGTTAAAATAAAACTTGTTTTCGTGCTTTATTTGATTGACACAAGGGGATTGTCTCCCACCCATGGTAATCAACAGTAGATACAATTTGCTGGTTATTAAGCAGAAAGCTGTACACTGGACTATCTTTGTTGTGCACACTACAGGGCTAAAACCTTGAATTTTAGAGTTATAAGTGTATGCCCCCTCAATTTTGGCTCACAATTAAATACCCAAATCTACTAAAACAGTTAGAGAAATTGAAGCCAATAAAAACAAAGTATAATTTCAGAAAGGTGTGGAAGTATCTTTGTTCAGCTAACATACTTATGATCTCGAACAAATATGAAATTTACACGATCCATAATTCCATGGTATTTATAAAAAACATCCTCAAAGTACATGGAAAGTTTCATTGTTTGCTAACCTTTCATGCATGTACTTACCGTAAGAGCCTGCATAGCAACATGTGGAATTGGACTGTTAAGTCTTTTAACAATTGACCGGAGACAGTCCTTTGGTCCACTTGCTGATGCTCCAACTTTATCACAGATGTCCATGATCAGCCCCCAGTCTTCAGCAGTGTTCATCTCACTAGTAACCTTTTCTACATAGAGGAAAAAATGTTTTAACAACTTAGAAAAAAAAACAGAAAATGGTAATCAGTTAGTAAAATTAAAATTAGTGTTTTACCAACACTGCATACACTCAACCAGTAAACAAATTCTAGAAGATGCATTGATTTAAAATTGTAATATTTCAAAAACAAAATTCCATATGTACAGAAAAACTGGCAAACCAGGTCTTCTATTTCTTACCTTGCCATAACAACAGAAGTTTTTACATTTCACAAAATACAATCATTGTCAATCAAAATTCTTTGTTTTTCTCTGTCAATGTTTCTTGCATGTCTCACAATAATCTGTCTAGACAGCCAGCTTAATAAACGTAAGATCAGCCTAATGCTAATCATGACTATTAAAGTGCCATCTGATCCAGAATGAACATGCAGCCTATATACATGGTTTTTATTGTGTTGTCTGTAGAGCTAGACAATTAACTTGATTGAAATGATTACCTACGAGCATTGATTACATCAATCAAGCATCACATAAAATAACTGATGAATCAAAATTATGATTCAGTCAATTAACAACATAAAAATAATGAAATAATTGAGGCTAATGTTTCTGATTATTGTCATTTTTTATTATTCCAACAATCAATTAATAATAATCAACTAACTGAAATTAGGGTTTCTGATTATTCCAACTATCCACCAAACTTGCTTACC